AAAAAAAAAAAAAAACCTTGAGGAAAGGATGTGCAGTTTCCCTTATCCGCCCTGTGGTTCACAACCCCTCACATTCAGGAAGTTCTCTCTGATGTCTGATCTCAGTGTCTTCTACTGCAGCCCATTTCCTCCTCTTCCTATGGCAGTGCATTGGAGGAGTCTCTTCCTCCTGAGGGTCCGAGACAATTAGTCGTTAAGTCACAGAAAGCTTGTTCCCAACAGGAGGGCAGTTGATTGAGAGGAACTCTCAGTGAGTGAAGATCATTGCCAGGGAGGGGAGCTAGAACCTGAGAGACAGTGAGGGAGCCTGGTTCGAATCCCAGCCCTCCTCCCTACTAGCTGTGCTGCGTTGGGCAAGTTACTGAATCTCCTGGACCTTCTGTCTCAACTGTAAAGTGGGGTCCTGCTTACCTCACAGGGTGGTGATGCGGATTGACGATCGTGAAAGTCAAGAACCTGATATGACGCCCAGATCATTAGCACTCAATGAACAATTACTGTTATTGTGCTGATGTTATGAAAAGGCATCCCCAGACGAGGGCCAGGAAGAGGTAAGGCAGGTGAGGCACCCATGGTGGAAAATGTGAGAAGGCATGTTGCTCTCAGGGTCGTGTGGGTGCACGTTAAACTGCCTGAGAGTGAATGCCTCCTTACATTTTCTGCCCTAAGCACCTCACCCTAGTCCCTGCCTCGCTGCGGACTTAGAGTTTGGGACCCTAGAGCAGGGTGATCTGTGAAGAGCAAGGCTTGGCCATCAAGTGGCACCAGGTCCAAACCCTGCCACCTGCTTGGCGTTGTCCTGGCTGGGGGCAAGGAGGATTCCTGAAGACCCCTGGCAGGGCTGTGAGTTGACTGCCCTCAGCTTCGGAAAGCCTGGGGTCCTTAGATCTAGGTTTTGTGCTGGGATTGGGTAGGGGTGGGGCTAGATGAGGGGTGCCCTCCCTGTCTGGGCTTCATCTGCTATATCCTTCTGCAGCTGAGCCTCAGGGGGAAGGTAGGGGAGAGCCTTCCTGCTAATGCGTCCTGCAGGTTGGCTAGAGATTGGGGTGAGGGTTAGCAAGGTGAGCTCAGCGGTGGGGTCTAGAGACCTGGGTGCCAACCCCAGTATTGCCGTGGACCTTCCTGCGAGAGGCTGGGGGACTCAGACCTCTCTGCACCTCAGTTTCCCCATCTGTGAAACAGGGAGGGAGGGAGGAGATGGTGTCTGAGGTCCTTGTCAGAGCTGGTGTTCTGAGGAGTGGTGTGCAAGGATGGTGTGTGTGTGTGTGTGTGTGTGTGTGTGTGTGTGTGTGTAAGAAGGTCTTGGCCCAAATCCAAGCAAAGATGGAGGTCAGAGAGCTCGGCTCCAGGAGGTCTGGGGGCACCAGCCTCACGGTCAGGGGTGAGCATGGTCAGGGGGCCAGGGAAGATAGTGAAGGGCTCTTGTGGTTAACTCACTCAGTCGCTATTTGCTGAGGGCCTACAGTGCACCAGGCCCCGCCCCAGGCTCTGGGGGCTATGGGGACTTACCTTGTAGTGGGGCAGGAAAACCCTAAATGAGATAAGCAAGTAAAATACATAGTGTGTTGGAGAGCAAGGGGTTCGAAGAAGAAAACTAAACCAGGGAACGGGGAAAAAGAATGTTTGAGTGGGTGTGTATCCACGTCCCGAAGGTGGGCTGACAGCCCAGGCGGAGTGGGTCGCTGTGGCCATCGGAGCTCTGGGTCGGCCAGCTCAGGGCCCACAGGTTGGGGTGCTTTGGGGGTTTCCCTACAGCACAGTCAAGGGGCTGGGGCAGGGGCAGCCTCAGGGAGACCGTGACCTTGTGCTCCCTGTCCCTTGCCTTTTTCATTCCCAGAAGCTCCAGGGCTGGCGGTGCCTGGGGAACAGAGAAGCAGGACTTCAAACCTGGGAGGACTGGGATGCAAGACAGAGGGGTGGGGAGCTCAGTGTGCATGCTGGGCTGTATTTGCAAACACCGCAGGGTAACACTGGGTGTCTAGCTCGGGAGGGGTTTTTGGAAATTTTTATCTTCTCAGAAAGCATGTCGACCACTAAGTCGAAGGCGTCTGATGGCTGACCCTGTGGCCGCCCTCCAGCTGGCCTGGGGAAGGGGTGGGGGCTGAGGGGCTGGTGCTCAGATGATCGCTGGCCAGGAGGGAAGTTTCTCTTGCAGTGCTGAGGCCTGTGGTTTCTAATATTGACTCGTCTCCCTGGGGAGGGGTGGAGCAGGAGGGTCAAGGCGGGGTAGGGTGGGCCTTGGGAGTGTGCAGGGTGGAGACGGTAAATAACAGCTAACCTTTATTGAGAGCTTCCAAGTGCCAGGCCCTATTCTAAGTGCTTAATGTGCTCCGTCTCATCTGATGCTCACAAAATAGCGCAAGGACAAAGTGACCTGCTCGCGGTCACAAGTTAGTAGCAGAGAGAGTCAGGACGGGGCCCTGGCTGCTAACGCTGTTAGCTTAGACCTGTGGTTTTCAAAGTGGCATCCCCACGCCTGGAAACCTTTGAGAGATGCACGTTCTTGGGTTCTACCATAGGGCCACTGGATTAGACCCTCTGGGCAGGGCCCAGCCACCTGTATGTCCACAGCCCTCCAGGGGATTCTGAGATCCTCCCCTCCTCCCCTCCCCGCTGCCCGCCCAGTTCACAACCTGTTCTGCCCAGAGTCAGGCCTCTCAGGAGGCTTTACCCAGAGCAGGACAAGGGCCTCTTAAGGGCCTGTAATGAGCCTGGGGCAGGTACTTGGTCCCCACCTTTTCTGTCCTACCCGATTTCTGTCCTTTCTGATCCCTGCCCCCCCCCCCC